TTGGCGGCATTAAATTTTTGTTTTTTTTTTTTTTTTTTCCCCATCATCCCTTTTTTTTTTTTTTTTTTTTTTGTATGCAGTTTTGTGTGAAACTGGTGAAAGATTAAAAGTTTCCCCACACAGTGTGGAGGCATGCTCAGCTTAACACAGTGATTTATTCTAAGCTGCATCCTTCATTGCATCAGCCACCAGTTCCAGTGTGACCCAAAGTTTGGACCATCCAGGCAACTGTCCCCCCCGGTGCCAGAAGGAAGAACGCCACCTGCCATCCTTGGAGCAGAACCAGGCAATAGTGCATCTCATGCAGTTTTACTCTGACCTTCTGCTCCCAGTATGCAAGGACTGCAATTTGTGCCAAGACACCTCCATCGGCCAAACGGAGGCCCGGGCTGCTTCAGCGGGAGCCGACAAAACAGCAAGTTGGGTCTCAAGTAAGGCACTCTGTTGTTTCTACTGTTGCTGCCGACAAAGTTGGGGAGCCATGAAGACGATCCTGGGATTTTGAATCTATCACACTTCCATCTCCCCCCCCCCAGATCAATATTAAATATTAAGAGTTCAGAATTATCTAATGGCGAGACTCTGAATCAGTTTTAATTGTTGATTTTAGTTTCTGTTTCCCTGTTAAATATTAATTCTTTAATCTGTAGTGTGTGGGCCAGAAGTACTCTTTTTTTTTAAGTAGCTTGTTTGTTATTTGATGCTTTCTTTGTTGTGTGTGTTTCTTAATCAACAGCGAGTGGACACTGATTGATTATTTAACAGAAAAATGATTCTTGATTTTGTTGGTTATGAGCGCCTGTCAGATTTCATGTTGAATTGAAATTGACCAAGCATCCTGAGAAATACACAGAAACTTCAAAGTGATTTATTTTCGTGCAATGTCCAGAGCTGACTGGAAACAAAATGTTTTCAGCTTTCGGGCTGATTCAGAGAATTTATGAGACTGTTTGACGTATGAACATGAATCAAAATGTCTTTTGCTACTGGAAAATAAAGAAAATCTAAAACTTTGCCTTATCTAATCTTAAAATCTTGTTTTGTTTTTGCAAGTTAAAGGGAAAAAAACTACACATAATTGTTAAAAGACTTAAGCTACTAACGCTACAACTTTTCGTTTAATATATCTTCCTAATCGGCTGAAGGTCATTTAAAGATCTTCATTTAAAACTGGATGAATATTTTTTTTTCTCATTTCATTCCAGCCCTTGAACCTGACCATGCAGTTTGTTCCCAGCAGCCTGTCACAAACAAAACCAAATATGCTCCCATTTCTTAAGCTGAAACTGTAAATAAAAAAGATACAAAATTAAAAAAAATTTAAATACACTGTATAGTAAAATCCGGCACCTAAAATATGTCTGGACCAAAGAGATATTAGCTGAAAACCAGGGATCTGCAATAGTGAAAATATTTGATGTATTTATTGTGATAAAAAAACAAAAAACAAAAAAAAAACTATCAAACAATAACAAAAAATAATTATCATGTTGCATCTTAGGGGAATGGTTAGGGTTAGTCTATCAGCCTATTAGAGCCTCAAACAAATACAGCTTTAGAGATAAAATCTGGTATCACATTGGCAAGAGTAATAACATTATGTTGTGTAAATGAGCTGCTTCACAATAATCATACTCAATATTTTCTAAATATAAACTGCATTTACAGATTTTTCAGAAGGAAAATGAATTAAACAGCAATGGCACATAAACAACAATCAGTAATATTTTTTTTAAGAAACATTGAGACAGGAATAGACCAGTTGATGTCTATGAAGTTAACGCATTCTTGACAGACAGTTATGATATTTAAGAGTCACCTCTCATGTGTCAGACTGTGATACTATGTTGTTTTTTTTGGTGCAAAATAAACAAATAAATAAATAAAAAGAGGAGATAAAACTGTCCCCAGTCAAGCTTTCTTTGTATAACATATCTGCCATGTTAACACTGGTGCACCAGGGTGTGTTTTAATGCCTCAACGAGCTGCAGTGTTCATTATGCAAGCTCCAGTAATCACAATGCCAAGAGGAGATTCTTTCAATTCATTTAGCAGAAATGTTCTAAAAGGATTTCTGAGAATGTTCCTGAAAACCTCCTTCATCGTACTGGTTTTACCTTGAAACACAAATATCCCCCCCCGTCGCCTACACAGTTTGTTAGGATGTCAATATGTCTTCTAAAGGCCACAGCCAGCCGCTGACGTAAGAGTAACTGTGCTTTCTGAATATCACATCCTTTTCAAGTATCTCCATTGAAAAGCACAACAATAAGTACTTGGAAACATATAGTGCGCTCCGAATGATCTGGCCTGAACAAAACATCCAAGAAGTAGAGTGGGTACATTGCATCAGTGAATGAGAAGTTTAAGTATAATCAGCTAAGAACAATTTCAACACGTCAGTGGAAATCAGCTCGTCAATCTGTTTCCAAACCTTCTCTTGTAAAGTTAATTTCTCCACTTTTAATTAAAGTTAAATTCCGTCTGAAGAAGCTGAGCCTTATTTAAACCGAATGGACAACATGATGAATGATTTAATACCCTCAAGCCTCCATCAGATGTAATCTTTTAGTGAGATTGAGAACAGAAACGTCATCTGTTCAAAACATCTGGCTTAAAAAGATGATCTTCAAACGGCTGACCAAGACGAGGATGTTTTTTTTTTTTTTTTCCCTGCTGCAGCGATGGTCATCAGGAACCTTCATCTAATGTGTCTGTTGCTCTTAGCTGATCAATTTTACTGTGATCTCATGTGTTTGATGATCGTTGCTTTAATAAATTAAACTTCTGAGGTCATTATTTATTTATTTTTTTTTGTCGGTAAAATAAAAGAATCACTGCATGAAATACAAATGAGAGAAAAAATAGAATCATATTTTACACTCTAACATAATGAAAACACTGAAAGGTAGACTGCTCCCTCTAGGTCAGAGGTCAGGTAGAGCCTGAAGCGGAGAAGCCTCGTTTGCAGTAATAGGGAAGCTGCTCTGGTCTGTTGTGGTCAGCAACAGGCTTCCTGCAAGTTCTTCATTTTCCAGGCTCAATTTTAGATTTTTCCCCATAGTTTCTAAAATATTCCGGACATCAGAGCACAAACCCAGTTGGGGTTCAAGTCTCTGGACGTTCCACGAATCACGAGGCAACACGATGTTGAAGTTAAAGCTATGATTAAACAGTGTGAAGAGGCCGTTTCTCAACTTGATGTCATTTTGACTAAGATAGATTAGATCTTCTGGCTGCAGGCCCTGAACTCTCCCGAGGGATGGCTGAGCGTCCCTCCTGGACCTGTTATTCTTGTGACCCAATTTCAGATAAGGTGAAATCAGTGGATGGATGCAATATATCAGTAACACAGCCTCTGGGCTTTCTTAGCTTTCTCTGGGTTTAAACCCTTAAATAGCAACAGTTGATTGTCCTCCATCCCTAAATGAGAACATTTATAAGAAGAATCCGGTGTAGTAGATCAGAATTGAAGTTTATTTCGCCTAAATTTAAAAAAAAAAAGAAGCGTAAAACAAGATTAGATAAAACTTTATTTGTCTTCACACAGTGCTGGGAGATGCTATTTTATTAATCATCTCAAGGCATTTGCTCCTTTAGCAGCGCCTAGATATTTTTCAAGTTTTCCAGAAATCTCCCCAAGTGTAGTTATCTTCTTGCGCTGACAGAAAATTTCTCTTTTCTGTCTCTTCCTCTCATATATTTAGCTTCATTTCTGGCAGTTCTGGATTTCATGTCTGGGAAGTCATTAGGAAACTGGGGGTGTGTGAATGAAAGGATTAGCAGTGAGAGCAGATTTAATCTGGATGATTAAGGAGAGAGAGTCTGACGGATCAAAGGGGGAAAAAAAAAAACAAACAAAAAAACATTTCTGACCTTGTGCGTCTCTGTTGAGATTGTCGGAAGCTCTTGCATTATTGTGGTTTTATTTTCACCTGCTGTTCCCACTATGCCCAACACGCTTGTATGACATATGGCAACGTGCTAATTTATGGTGCACAAATAAACAGATGCACGAGGGGGCCTGTGAACGCCTCATCTGCATTCACAACATTTGCGTTGCAGACGCCACGACGCCAAACACACGCAGACCCGAGGCCTGTTTCATAACAGGCAATTGAAACAATGCATTACTCTGGTACTGCATTGTTTGAAACCCAGACAATGCAGTACCAGAGTAATGTCTTTACATCCCTTAAACGTTTCCATGTTATGTCATGTTAAAACCATGAACTTCAAAGTGGTAAAAAAAAAAAAAGATTAGTGATGTTGTATTCACACCTTTTTTTTTTGTTTCTATGGGAGTTTACATATGTACATCCTGCATTTTGTTTGCTGTTCATTATTCAAGAACATTTGGTAACACTTTATTTGAAGGGGATTGAATAAGACTGACATGACACTGTCATAAACATGACATAACATGTGATGAACATGAATAAGCCTTCATGAATATTTATGACTGTTGTCATAAAGCGTCATTCGGTAAATTATGACTTTTAATACAAAGTTGACATTATTCAAAATGTCTTTGTTATGACAACTTGACATTAACCAAGAAATCATTACTGATATAAATTTGTTATAAAAGTATTACTGATTGCACTTTAAAAATGAGGTAACTTTATGTTATTAAAGGTAAAGTTTAAACAGTAATGATTTATTGGTTAATGTCAAGTTGTCATAACAGACATTTTGAATAATGTCAACTTTGTATTAAAAGTGTCATAATTTACCGAATGACGTTTTATGACAGCAGTCATAAATATTCATGAAGGCTTATTCATGTTCATGACAGGAGTTATGTCATGTTTATGAAAGTGTCATGACAGTCTTATTCAACCCCCTTCAAATAAAGTGTTACCAAACATTTATAGTATAAGTTTAAGCTCAGAGTGTGAATGTGAATTTTCAAGACTTGCCATATGTTCCGTCTTAGATTTCACTCTGGACTTTGGTCATATTTTGAGGGCAATGAGTAAAATTAATATTAAACGTTTCTGCCTCCTGCAGCGCCGTCTACGTTGCGGCAAACTTAAATCGTAACTTCTTATAATTTCTTCTTGCCAGATTTATGAAGGGCAGCGCTCATAGTTGTCCTGTCAACATACTCTTCCACCCGATCCATCTTTTCTGCTTATTCTTCTACTTGCCTGTCAGTTTCAGTTGAGGCTAACATCTCGACAGGTTTTCAGTTTTGCAGCACTGCTTTTGTTACATTAGATGTTCAAAGCCCATATTTCTTGTCCTCCCTCGGACCTCATGAAGCCGTCTGTTCACTGATGTTTTCAGCTGGACTTACAGTGAGAGTAAATTACATCGAGGCGGGCACTGTTTACTACTTACATGACTTCTGAAGGCAACTTATTTCTCTGAAATGCATTAAGTGGTATCAGAAAAAAACAAGGGGAGAGAATACATGTGGATACTTTCAGACTTTGAAAGCTACCATACGCTATTTTCCTTCCACTTCGCAGTTATGGTCCACAGTGTATTGCTCCATCACAAAAGCCCAACAAATTATTTTCAAGTTCACTTTGTAGAGTAAAAAAAATGCATGGACATTTTTGAAACGTGTTCTTTGATCCAGTTTAAATTGTGCGTGTCAGTGTTCTCACCAATACAGATCTGCTGGGCATCAAAGGTCTTGCAGCTGTTGTTGGAAGGTCGAGGGAAGTCGGGCGACGAGGGGTTAACAACGCTGGGTCCCGTGCCCCACAGGGTGAGGGTGAACTGACTCAACACGCCTGTGAGAGGGAAACAAAGAAGTGAGAGTGCAAAAGGAGATGGAGGTAAATATCAAGTTAGCCGCTCTCAGTGGGGGAACAGAGTGAACCGGCTGAGAAGAGGATGTGGGGGCGGAAGGAGAGGAAGCAAGTGATGCGAGCGGGGCCAAACACAACTCAGGAGGAGGATCGACACCAGCAGAGGAAGAGAAAGTACTCCCATTTCATTTCTTCTGCAGCTCTGAGTAAACAGTACCACAGGATAAACATAGAGATGTTAACTCTCCTCAACCATAAGCTGGATTCTGAGCTCAAAAAAAAAAAAAGGAAAAAGAAAAAGCAGCAGCCCCCAATGTTTGAAATGAAAACCTTGTTCAGAGGTTTTGATCAAAAAGCTGTAAGATATCTTCTTGTAACGGCCGTCAACTTTTAATCTGGATGTGCTTCTGAGAGGCTCTCCTCTGGGCAGCAGAAAAAAAAAAATTACACACCCTGTCATTAGATGAGGAATAAAAGAGGAACTGAAAAGGCCTTTTTAATGAAGCATGAAAACATGCAGCGAGATTGGAGTTGGCGAGGGGGCAGCTGATGCTGACATTGCTGTGGTTTTGAAGTAATGTATACAGATTAATGATAATGAGCGATTTACCATAGTCACGTCCATTAGATGCAACGTTTTCTATCTCTAGGGTCCACTCTCCCTGCGGGTTCTCATCCCACGAGTGGGTGGTCATAAAGGCCCAGTCGTTGAACCCCTCCGAAGAATAGTCATTGGGCCTTAATAGACAACAAGAGAAAACTTATTTTCTGTTTTATTTATTTATTTATTTATTTATTTGTGTGTGTGTGTGTGTGTGTGTGTGTGTGTGTGTGGTGTGTGTGTGTGTGTGTGTGTGGGAATCGCTGAATACAGCCCGGTACTGAGTCTGTCTAAAAGAGAAGGGTTTACGTCATGAAGGGGCATCAGAAGAGCCGCGTTTAACTGTGTACCTTGGGAACAGCAGGGTGGAACGTGTTCCCAGTGGGCTGATGAGATGAATGGCCAATTTTCCTCGCTGGTTATGGGAAAGAGTGAGGCGAGCCTGAGCGTGCTCCAGAGATCGGATGTACTCCGGTCGCCCCCAGCAGGCATCGACGCTCTTGCTGAACACCAGCTTGCTCCCAATGTCCCTGCAGGGTTGACGAGAGGAGTGGAGAGTGTTTAATGTTGTGTGTCTGCGGAAAACGGACACAGGCAATCACACTGTGCTAAGAATCTAAACGTCTTCAACCATCTCAGGGCAGATGCTGGGAGGGATGAGGAGCCAGCCAATGGATTTAATAAAACTAAAACCCTCTGCTGTTCACACACACACATCTTCCTCCCACAGGAAGCCAAAACCTGTTTTGCTCCACCACTTCTAGTGGTTCTAAAACTTTGAAAATAAGACAAAAAAAACCCCGAATCTTGTGAATCTTGTATGCTGTTACATAACTTTTATCCACGTACTAATATTTATCCTACTTCTGGGATCTGTTTTAAACACGCAAGACTTGGCAACTTCATGTTCATGTTAGTTTTAAAACAGTTTTACTGTAAGTTTTCAGGCTTTGTTTTTAAACAGGGATTGTGTTAAGCTTCACTTGCAAACTCAAATATGTTTCAAAAGTAAATTTGTTTACATTCATATTAGGTACATTTAATACACAGACAGATGCATGCAAAGAGATTATTTCTGTTAATTTAGCTGATTATGGATTACAGTTGATGAAAAAACTAAATTTAGTCTAATAAGAAGTTGCATTGGGTCAGGTCAGTTATTCAGGTAACACAGCTTTCAAAACAGGTGTAGGTACTTTGTACTTTAGGTAGAATGGGTAGGTGCCAAGTTTTGCTGAAAAGTGAAATCAGCATCTTCAGAAAGTTTGTCGGCAGATCGAAACACAAAGTTGTCAAATACGTTTAGCAGACAACTAAGTTAAACAAATCAGCTATGTGTGCATGTAATCATTAAATAGATAATCACAAACAGTTAGCAGGACTTTGTGTACTATATTTTTATTACTTATGAAGTAAACCAAGAACTGATTAGCCCCGCCCTTACCCTATACTATTCCTAACCAGTAAACGCCTAACCCTAAACCTAACCGCACCTCACCCAAATACAGCACCTTTTTTTGTGGGTCCTCAGAATGTAGTATTTGTTGGAAAAAATAGACCTTACAACATGAAATGCTTAAATACACACACACACACTCACACACACAGTTTGAAGTCACTGTTCTAACCTTGGTTCTGTAAGCATCGTCAGAACGCATTGGTGCTGTGGTCCCACTGTCGTCCAGTTCTGTGCCAAACTCACCATAGAGCCTGCATCTAGCAAGCCGTAGCCATACGAATGACTCACTGAGGAGAAAAGAGAATAGATGGACAACAATGACATTGAGATAACGATATAGAGGCTACAGCTTCAGAACATCTTTTCAGAAACACAATTTTGAGCCTTAATTCAGAGGACTTTCTGAAATCCCTAAAATGCCCCACCGATCTTTAACAGCACTATCCAGCTACTTTCCCCTTTCTGCAGTCACCAATAACACAAGTATGTTTTTTTGGCCCTTTTAACAAATGCAAAAGATCTTTAGGGAGACACAAGAACATTTCCTTTTCATCGGAGCTGCCTGAATGGTGTGTCTGTCTGATTGACAAGACGCTGGCAGGAGAATAACAGCCAAAGTAAACAAACATATCCCCTTCCTCACAAAGCATGGACAGACAGTTTTATGTGCTGGAGCCGAGCATTAAAGATACTACTAAGGGTGACATAAGAAGCTGGCTTTTGTTGTGTGAAAGCCTTTTTAGTGCCTCTTTCCACAAATGTCCACAACATTTTCCTACTGGTAAACATGGTGTGTACGTCCCTGAACGTTTTGAAAGGAGCAGAGTTGATGGGAAAAGCCACAGTGGTCATGGAAAGTACATCCTCGTTTAACTTTAAAGGTGAGCTGTTGTGCTTCCTTGAACAGGTTAGGATAGGTCTATGGGCTGTATGAAACATGTTCATAACATTCTTTGGGCTTTGTAGTGGTTGCTAGGCTACGGGTAGGGCTTTGATGGGGTTGCTAGGTGAGGGGCAGTGGCTGCTGATTTGTGACGTTACATTCCAAAGGTTTTTGAAATAGATAATTTTCCAGAGACCAAAAACTTTTAACTTATTGCCAAAAACAAGTGGATTTTTATTTTTTTTTGTAAGTGCTTGGGCTATATTTTTAAAAGCAGTGGAGACCAAAACAAAAGTACAAAATCGTGCAAAATGTGAAATACATAATACATCCTCTTTAATATTCTCCAGACATAAAGAGGATCTAGTCTGGTTTGGTACAACTTTGCTGCCTTTGTAGGAAATAAGAGGAAAAGTAGCAGCCAGGCGTTGTTAATTAAAACACTTGATTATTGACCACCGGTAGGTACGATCTTATCTATAAAAGCAGGATCATTTGCATTTTGCTGGTCTGGTGGGTGAGGGCAAATGCAGTCTCAAGGGAGAAAGACGTCAGCAGTATGCAAAGAGAATTGCTGCTGCTGAATGATTCTGGTTGCAATGGCCTTTGGACACTCGAGATCAAAGTTGGGACATAATCTACACCAAATAGAGCACATCAGCACAAACACTTCAGAGGGTTTGTATCAGAGGGGGCTGATCTGAAATGGGGACCTCAGTCCTGTTGGGGCAGGATGTTAAAGGAGCTCTACACACTGAAGAAGGTGCTACAAGTGATACAATTACAGGATGTTTTTAACATTCCACCAGAGGCTTTTCCATTCACATTTTATCTTTGTTTAATGCAATATTATACGGGTTGCATGTGTTTTGCAACTAATATAATTTAATTTGCTTGTGGCCAGATGACTTTATTTATGTCTGGCAAATGAATTCATGCGACATTTTGTCATGCCAGCCTAAATAAAAAGAAGTGTAACTAAACTATCTTTAAATGTAAGCTAATTAGTAAACAGTTAACCTGCGTCCGCCTTTAAACTTTATTTATTAAAATGCATTCAATACATCAAAATGTGTTCTGATGAGGGTGGTTTGTCAGATTAAAAGTTATTTTTGAAAATAACCTTTTATGTAGTATTGAACATGCTTTTCTTCAAGCTCACATTGTTGTGTTAAATTTTTTATTGGTCTGATGTAATGTAATTTTAAGTGTTGAGTTTTCATAAGCTGCAAGTGGGAAAACAAACTAACAGATATAAAGGTGTGAAAACATCAGTTTATGTTTTCCCTTAGTGAATTTAAGTTGTGAGATAAATGAACAAACAGCAACATGAAGACAGGTCATGATGTTCAGGCATAAAGTTGTCAGGAACTTTAAAGCAAGGTTAAGTTGAGGTACACTGTCACAAGGATCCCAGGATCTAGGTCGACACCGTGGCGAAACCCTGCTCCCTGTACACACGGTTTACCACTGCCTCAGCCTGTGCAACTGTTCTGCGAAAATGGATCCCGCTCCTCCCCGATCCTGGCTTGGTGGAATTGTTGGAAGACGCCGAGTGGGACCGTGATGCAACCCAGGCAGAGATGATGGGCGATCCAGTTCCACCTAAGCGTCCCTGCCGCCCAGGCCTGCCGCTGTTGTGGCGTCCTCACCTCCCGAGTTTCCTGTGGCTCTGCCTCCCTGTGGCTCTGCCTCCTGAGCTTCCTGTGGCTCTGCCTTCCTGTGGCTCCATCCGAGCTTCCCTATGCTCCGTCCGAGCCTCCACGTCTCTGCTTCCTGCGGCGGCGACCGCCTGACCCGCCTCCTCGACTCCTGGTTCTTCGCTCACCCTGGTTGGGTAGTTTTTTGTTTGGACTGAGTTTTTGTTTTCTGGACTCTTGCCCCCCGTCCAGTGCCCCTTCAACCACACTTGTTGTGTTTGGACTGTTTTATTTTGGGCATCTGGTAGCTGCCCTTGAGGGGGATGGGGGTGCTGTGACTATCTGTGTTTCTGTGTATTTATTTCTTGTTTTTTTCTGTGTCCTTGTTCCCCCGTTAGTCTCTGTGAGGTCCTGTCCTCCCTGTTGATTGATTCCAGCTGTGTATTTAAACCCACCTGATGTCTCTGTCTCTTGTCGGGTCCTTGTCGCACGTCTATGCTCTCCAGTTGAACTGCAAAGTCCTGGTTAGTGTTAGCTCTCGTTTTCAGTCTTCTGTGTTTCAGTTGCTACCGGTAATTAGCTGTGTGCTATGCTCTCTGCCGTGCCGCCTGTATTGGACTGTTTGAGCTTTCATCATTAAATTCATCATTTTCTTCACAACCTGGGTCTCAGCGTTCAATCTCACCACCTCTCAACCATCACTTCATGACAGAAATGATCCTGAAAACACAGCAAGAGCTGCAATGGAATAAATAACTAGATTAAAACATACTGTGTTGAAATGAACCACTGCAAGTCCAGATCTAAATTTAATTCAGAATCTTTGGCAACACTTTTCTTAAAACATATTGTATTATTAAAGTTGATTGTAGTGATTAAAAAATTCAAAACCAAACTGAAGAAGGATAAATACATTTTAAGAGCATCCTAAAACTTTAGACCTTATAGAGGGAATGTTTTTATGCTACAGGAAGCAGGCATACATTTTATAAATGTGTTTTATAGGCACCTTGTGTTTCCCATGGACACTGCAGCATGCGAGGATTTGCAGATTGAAATGAAAAATCTGTGATTTTTAGAATCCTGGCTCTACCTCCGGAGCCACAGCTGCTAGTGGTTTGTGAAATATTGGAAAAAAAAAAAAAAAAAAAACATCTGCAATTTAATCTCAGATGGGCTATAATGACTGTAATGCTTTGGCTCTGCAGAGAGGGAAAGACTGTTATTGCCAAACAAGTAATAACATTTTTGAGAGACTTAATAGATTTTTCTTTGAACAAAAGCGACATATATACACATGCAGCAGAGAGGGATAAACATAATCCCCAATTGTAAGATATCATCTGTGCTTTATTTGGACGACTGAAAATAATCAGTACATACCAATGCGTCCCACTCCATTGGTCTTCCAGTCTCCGGCGATGAGGTGCCCGGGTAACGACGTCCTCACCACCAGGTGCTGCATGTCCCTCCAGGTCAGGTTCATGCTGAAACACCGAAAGCACGAGAGCAATTTAACCGCATTGACTTTCTGCCATGTAACAGATGAAGGTAATAATTTCGACATTATGCGCGTCATGAGTAAAGTCGGGTTTTGCTGACCTCAACAGCACAATAATGTAGCAGAGGAAATGTGAGGAGCTGAGGGACATGGAAAAGGTCAGGGGACAGCAGACACGACTGAAATGTAATCAATCCCGGCATATGCAGCGAGGACAAATGGGCATCTTTGAAAATAACACCCCGAGACACGAAGGAGACTGGGAGGTTTATTCCAAAGCATCATAACTAAGCAGCTACAGCGTTTTTCTAAACTAACTAAACACCCCTTGAACTTTTTCACATTTCACCATATAATAACCACATGTTTCATTGTCTTTTACAGGGATTTTCTGTGACATGTCAACACCAAGTAGAGCATAATTGTGAAGTGGAAAAAAAAAAAAATATTGGTTTAGTTCTTTGAGCTGAAAACCCTGTACGCTTTCATTTTTACTTCCTAATTACGGCACTACCTTGAGTTGGTCTGTCACACACAGTCCCATTAAATTACGTTAAGAGTGTGAGGTTGTAACATAAAAATGTGAAAAGGTTCATGGGGGTAATGAAATCACGGCACTCTAACCGATACCATAAAATACCAGAGTTAAAATGGTACTGTGTAACGTATTATGCTGAGAGGTCAAAGAACATGATAAACAGTAGCTGTAAAACCAAGGAGAATGAGGTTTGGGACTCAGGGCCAAGGTCACCTTCCACAAAGTACTGGCTTTCATAAAAGCAAGACTTTTTTTTTCTTTCTCTCATTTAGATATAATAAAGAGACATTCATTAGAGCAGCCTCAGAAGAACCAATGAAGAAAAGCTCTCCAGCAGGTTGGAATAACAAAACGATGAATCACAGCGCTTAGTAAGCTCAGCACCACAGCTGACTGAAATAGAAGCAGAACTTCGCCGAGGCGCATCTCCTCCTCCCTGCATCCACATCAGCATCCTTCCCTCACATCCTCTCATGAGTTATTAATGTACAAGATCCCCGTAGATCCACTCAATGTGACATCAACCAAGAGCAGGGAGAGGGACGATAATAAAATTATAAAACAAGAGAAAGCCAAAAAACGTTCCGCCCATTGAACGATTCCATCTGCAGCAGTTCCAGTGTGGGCCCAGTCTGATAAAGCAGCTATGCTGTTATTACTGCAGCCTGTCAGGGAAGGGGTGCCTGCTGGGATGCACCAAATACTGCCTGATGACTGATAGTCAACGCGGTGAAAACCCGAGTTCTGTCAGTTACTGGCCATTTCTCACGATATATCACAGCTGACAGCGCCGAGATAAGCCAGGGAGGCTGAGGAGGCTTACCTGTGCTGTAACGCTGCGCCGGATTGGATTCGACACCTGTCATCGCTAACGCAGACATGAGGGGAATTATGCAAAGTGGAGAGCAGCTGAGTGATAAGACAGACTCAAGACACGCAAGATACAAGTGCAGATAATGCGGATGACGGAGAACACGTTAGATGGCTCAGAGAAGCTCGGGACACCTGCAGTCCTGCGTGAGCGATAATGAGAGAGATTCCCGGGGATACGACTCTTCACAAGCAGCCCTACAGGTATTTGAAAGTCTGTGCGGGCTGCAGCTGCTGATTTATCTCACTAATTAAGTGATTATCAAAAGCTTAATTTGCTGTGGAAAGAATTTCTGCTGGGAGTCAGTCCAGCGTTGACTCCCGGAGGTGTCTGTGAAGTCGCAGCTGTGAGCGCACGGCTCCCGTGGAGACAGGGTGGAGAATGGAGGAAAAGATAAAACCAACAACATTCCTGCACTTTAAAAGTCGAGCGCGCTCAAAGATGATTCACAAAGCTGGCTTGACGTTGTTTCCGTTTTCATTAGTCTGATTCTTCTGAAAATTTCTTAAAGGTTTCTTTAAATTCTGTATGTTAGCATACACTCGGATCACTGTAGGGAAAACCCAGATGAAGATGATGTCATGGCTTCGAGATGGTGACCTGATTTCGATTAATTGGAGGCACACCTGTGAACGTAAATTAAAGTATTGGGGGATGGGGGGAATGGTGACCTTCACGAGTGGTTCATCCTTGAACCACTTCGAGGATGAATGCAGTGGTTACACACAAGCATAAATATCTTGGTGGATGTTCAGCCATCATGTTGGTCAGCTTGATCAGTTCTGTGTCACAGAGATGAGAGAGTTTTGGGGGAACATATGCATGTGTCAACCCCAGAACAATTGCAAAAGGCCTTTTGAAGATGTTTAAAACATGTTAATTGTTACAAAAAGTCTCTTGTTTCTCCTTATTTTTGCAATAAGACAATTTGTAAATTATATGTACAATTGTAAGCCTGCATGGACTAAAGAAATAAAAGTTATGCCACAACTTCTTATTTTAAAAAAAATCGAAGTTTAATGCTGTACATTAATTTGCCACTCTAAAGAGACCAGTTCAAATACATTATTAAAACCCTAAAGTTAAAATGCCATTTATGTCCCTGATGACTGCATGCAGACATCTGACAGATACTGTATGTTAAATTTAAAACAAAACAGTGGCACTGCTGTAAAAGTCATCTGTCATTCCAACTCACTTTGCCTCCAGAGCCAGAGCGATGATCCCAGCAGCTAGTGGAGCCGAGGCAGACGTCCCCGTGTGAGAGTCGGTGCATTTCTGCCTCAGGTCTGTGGTCACCTTAGAGAGAATAAGAACAGAGGGAAGTGCACATAAACACAGAAGGAGAGAGACAGAGCTAATGTGACACTTCACCATGAATTCACGGCGCGGAAAGCTGAGTGTTAGACAGGGGAGGGACAGAGATAATATGAGTTTTCCCTGCAGCTATCTAAGATGGAAGAAAAATGAGAGGGAGGAGGAGAGAATGAGTCGGTAGGTTCAGTCTCAGGTTTATGGACGCCTGCCAAAGGGGTCACAGGCGGGACAGCGAATGTCAGCCAAGTCGGCCCCAGCCAGATCTGTTGCTGGTGAGACGAAGGGGCTTAGTGCTCCACGCACGCCTCTGATCTTCCTGTCTGTCAGTACCAGGAAGCTAACGATGCCTGTCTGGGTCACAGTGAGGACACACTGGTAATGACAAAGAGGCCGGAAGCAAAGACCGGCAGTGAAGGTCGGAGATGGAGGATCTGCTTGCAACTTTTGTCCTGACAGCTTGTGGCACTAATGACCATTATCAGCTGAAGACGTCTCCGTGTCAGAGGTGTAAACAAAATCGGTCAGGCGTCTGAACAGGATAACTGTTCCACTTGGAGCTGGACCAAACAGCCATTTCATAAACAATCTGACAACTGAAAAAATGTTTTCTCATTAAATGTATTCATTTAGTACAAGGTGAAGCATTTTTTATAAGACTTGGCAGAGGTTTTCTTTTATTATTATTTTTGTTTTATGATAGTAGAAAGTGGTTAGAAGGGACACAGGGGATAAATAAAGCTTGTTTTTGTGCAATAAAAAAAATATCAATCATGTCGCTATAAAAGCTGACAAGATAAATAAAATTTAACTCATGAAACGAGGAAAAAAAACTATTAGTCATGTGGCCAAACATTTTAGGGATATGCAGTCTGCAGTCAAGTTTTTCTAGCATGATTAGCCTGTATTTATCAACTCTGTTCAGCTTCAGTGACTCTTCTAAACATAAAAGGATTCTCACAGAATGACGCTGCCACTACCATGTCTCATGTTTGGGGGATGGTGTGCTCAGAGTGACAGTTTTAGTTTTCTGCAACACAAGTTGCAAGTGTACAGCCTGTAGGCAAAACAAACAAACTCAAACAAAATAAATCAGCTGTAGTTTCTTTTGGCCAGAGCATCTTCTCCTTTAGTGAAAACTTCATGGATTTCACATATGAGAATGATATGTAAAAAAAACAAAACATGTACCGCATAAAAAAATGCATGTGGTACGCACAAGTTTTCACTTGTAATTTGGTCGATAAACTGAAGAGTCCTATGAAACGCTTAAAGCATAGGAATTTTTTTTTTATAACCTAGCGAAGCATTAAGCTAATCCACAACTTCATCCCTACACTGCTGTGTGTGCTCTTGGTTTTATTATGCTGTTTGCTCACTAATGATCTCAACCAAAGCTCCAAGGCCTTCATACAACATCCGTATTTATGTTGAGATTAAATTAAAAACAGGTGGACTTAAATTACTTGTCTCCATGAGGCATTTGGATTTTATTTACTGATATTTGAGTAAAGTAAAGGACAAACACAAGACTCCTCAGATTCTTGCATGAAAACTGTTTTGGAAACCACATAAATCGCCCTTCCACTTCACACCGTGCAAATACTTGGTGGTGGTCGGTAAGGTGCCATTTTCATATGATACTGGCATTTACAACTGATTTTGATGCAACAAACAAGCCTGAAGTAAAATTGTGAAGAGTGAGAGTTTTTTTTTTTTTTTGTGACCGGTTTATCTTTGCAGTGTCTGTACAGCTGAAACAGCCTCAGTTTCAGGGTCTGTATATTGACTAAATATTTTCAGCCTCTACAGGCACACATGGCCATAAAAGCTCTGTGATTCTGACTAATTTAATTATGCAAACAAAAGCCAGGGGACTTCCTTAAAATAACATCACTACCAAGCTTTTTTTTTTTTTTAATACAATGTCATTAAGATTTTTTTTTTAAGCATCTATGTGGTAATTTTGGGTGTCGTGGTTGTGCAATAATCATCACACTTAATAGCGAAAGTGTTTCTCTTTGTTCAGCTTTGCCCAAGCATGTGCCCTCTATGTTGTTCAGCTTTCAACCCCAATCCCAAGGCATGAATGTTAAGGCTAATTGGACAACCTAAACTGCCTTACAGTGTGAGAGAGGGTGCATGGTTCTGTCCTTGTGTCTTTGTGAGAAAGGAAACTATCAGTGGTTTTCTGACTTACTAGAAGAAGGTGTAATTTAAATTTTGTTCCCTCTTCATATGAAATAACAGGTCACTAAATCCCAACCACAAGTGATCCGAAGGTCATGCTGGATTGCCATGAGAGCCCCCATTGCAACTGCGGCAATCACACCTACGTGTCACTGGGATCGTAAATACCAGTGTTAGACAAAGAGACGTGGCATGAAATAACTTTCAGAACAAACACCAGCAGCCTCACAGTTGCAAAAATCAAGTCAGTGCTGCTTCACCTCTTGAAAACAAGTTTAATTTCACCTGTTTTGATGAAGTGCATTTGTTTGCCTGCAGCGGGTCTTTGGTGTATTTTGGAAAAAAAAAAAGGGGGAAGATTCATAGCTGTTTCATGTTATTCTGATCCCTGGAGGCAAGCCTTTCATCAGCTGGAAAGCAGCTTGAAAGAAGCGTGTGACATTTTCAGGGTTTGTCCGCTCTCCTCGTTGGATGTTGCGCATCAGACGCTCTGATTTCTGAGAGCTTGATGCTTATTTACAACATGACAGACAAAGGCTTAATGTGAAAATACGCTTCAAAAAACTTCAATTTATGATGCGTCTCTGTCAGTGTTTGGTGAGCAGACAGTTTTTGTTTGTTCTTTTTTTTTTAGACTGGCAACACAACAGCTAATGCGTAGACGATTTTAAGGAGCAGATGTGTGCTTGCACTCACTATCTGTTTCTCCCCTGGATTCCCAGAGCTAAAGGTCGTAGCCAGGGTGGAGGAGCAGGGTTCACTGTACCACGGCACGTTGCCTGACTCTGTGGTGCTGCTGATGGACAGCGTGTAAATGCTGTTGGTGTAGCCGTCACAGTTGCAGCTGTCCTGTTCGCGGCCACCGTTGCCTGAAGCCCAGACGAAGATGGAGCCCAGTCCACCGCGTCCCTGTGGCAGAAAAACACAAAAGAAAACCATAATATAACGTAGCTGAAACCCAGCAAACAGAAAGAAACTAACAAGGGCTCGCTGAGGTGTGGAAAGCTGCCTTTGACAAAGACGTGTGGCTCACTGCCTAAACGGGCGTGCCATATCTGAGCTTTCTTTAAAACGCTGGAGGTGCAGAACCATGTCAAAAATATCAGGAAACACAGCGATTGTAATTGCGACACGAGCTCAAGCTGATTGTGATTGCGAATGTATGACAGCATAATTTTTACCGAAGCATTGTGCAGTTTTAAGATACACGTACAGTAAAGCCCAAACTCCTCTGGCAGATTTCAAAATAATCAGTGAAAATCATGGAAATTACATAAATGAAACAGTTGTTAGGTATATATTTGTTAATCAGCGTTTTGCTTGTTTCCACTGGTATTCTGATAATTTGGACAATTTCTTTGCTGATGAGCTCAAATTATGTGAGGTTGGAAGACCTGCTTACCATCACCCTAATGTTTAACTCTCTCCACAGATTCTCCGTCAGATTCAAGTTTGGATTCTGCCTGGGACGCTTCGAAATGACCCGAAGAAATACGTTAGAAAAACCAAGTGATTACGTAAAACCTAAATCTGCCAGTGGAATGAATATTTTTGTGCTTTTCCATATCTATAGTTTTCATCGGCAGGCTCGGAGATGGTAATGATGTATCAAAAAGAAATTTGATTTTCAAGCATTTTTTGTAGCAGTACCACGATTAAATGGGTTTATTTGTTCCAAGACATACACTGCCTTGCTTCATGTACTCGTCTCCACCGGATTAATTTAAGCTCTGTGACAGGATTGATTTACTTGTTATGAAACACAAATGACATTGGACTGCAGACAGTTGTGTGTCTCTATTTTATTCATTTCGTCTCCAGTTGGCTTTCCTTGCTTATCTCGAAGGCAGAAGTCTGCCTGCTCACCTCTTTCACTGCTGACCTTTTGCACCTCAAAATATTGCTGATTGTTACCGGAGACCAGTTGTTGCTGGGTGTCCCTGAGGCACGAATGGAGACGAAAACACTGCGTATCGGGGCACCAGATGTCAGGGCCGCACAGCTCGGAAACAGCCTTAGGGCTGGAGAGTGACCTCAGTGTTCCTTTGCTGAAGTTAATGCTTATTTTCCAAAAGATTTTGATTAGTTCAACAATATTTGCTGTCAGATTTGATTCTAAATATATATCCGACTAAATAGTACAGTATATACCTGTGTTGTGTGGCTACAAAATTATATATATATATATATATATATATATATATATATATATATATATATATATATATATATATATATATATATATATATATATATATATATGACTTTTTCTTTTATTTGTTTCATCCTTTTCTAAAAAAAAATGAATTCAATAATGCAACTATACTGAATCTTTTATTGTGTGAAAACAGGAATGCAGGTAGACAAATATTCACAAGAATGACCTGTAACAAAAAGAGCATCTTCTTTCTCTAACAGTTCAGCTAAAGAACAATAATAAATATCAATATCCGTTGAACCTTTTCACGGTTTCTCCCATCGCAAACACAAACTCTAATGAACTGAGCTGACAGACAAAAACAGCACAGGAATAGGAGGTGGACCACTTGCACTTTTACCAAATAAAAATATAAAGAGTTAGCTTTGCATGTGTTTTCAGCCACCTATGTTCTAGTACACATAAATAAAATCCAGCATATCTTAATTACTGAACAATAATTGAGCCAAGAATCGCATCCTAACTCGAGAGAAGATGTGCAGGTCCACAATTCAGGTGGGACAATCCGTTGACAGGACAACCACCAGACATTAACTCAGGTAACATGGCCTTCAAGGAAGACTTACAAGACGCGTACTGTTGTTGAGAAAGAAAGCCGGAGCTACAACTGGTTTAGATGAAACTGATCTGTTAGAAAGGCCAAAGCAAAGTGGGCACCGAAACTTATCTGAGAGACTGTGGCCGGGCTTGAAAATGTATCCTGTAGGCACTCTCTATTCGATATGCCTGAGCTTGACTGGGCAAATATTTCATTCCCTTTATGTGCAAAGCTGGATGAAGCCAACTATTAAAGACTTTCGGGTGTAATGGCACTGAAAGTAGTAGGATAGGATTTCTGAATATGACATGCCCTTCAGAATTTCATTGTCAAGAAATTAGAAAACTTCTACTTTATACAGAATTATGTGGAGGTTTGTATTAGCCTATGAAATAACATCTCATTAAAATACACAGAGGCTTGTGGTTTTAATGTAACAAAATGCAAAAAGTTCAAGGAATACGACTACTTATGCAAGGCAGAGTAATACTATCTCCAGAAGTGATCATAATCAACAACCAAAAAAAAAAAACAGAAAAAAAAAAAGGATTCACACTAAACAGAG